GCAGTTTTACGACCCCGCCTCGCGCCGTGTCTTTGCATCTCAGGACGTCACTTTTGACGAGTCCGTCCCCTTTTACCGTCTCTTTCCCTACTGGACTACCCCTCGCCCCCCCCCGCCGCTCTTTCTCGCTCCAGGTCCTTCCTAGGTAGACCCCCTCCCCCCGCAAGGTCCTGCTCCTTCAGGTGTTTCTCAGGTAGACCCTCCTGTGCCTGCGCCTGTTGAGGTCACTGGTGACTCAGGTCCTGCTGGGGGTGGTCCTGCTCGGGGTGCTGTCTCTGGGGGTGCTGAGCCTGGGGGCGCGGAGCCTGAGCGAGAGGAGTCTGGGGGTGCTGAGCCTGGGCGTGCGAAGTCTGGGGGTGCTGTGCCTGAGCGTGAGGAGCCTGGAGGTGCTGAGCCTGGGGGTGCCGAGTCTGGGGGTGCTGAGCCTGCACGTGAGGAGCCTGAGGGTGCTGAGTCTGGGGGTGCTGAGCCTGCGCGTGAGGAGCCTGGAGGTGCTGCGTCTGGGGGTGCTGAGCCTGCACGTGAGGAGCCTAGAGGTGCTGGGTCAGGGGATGCAGCGCCTGAGGGTACTGCGACTGCTGGTGCGCGGTCTCCTTGGAGTGGCCGCCTTCGTCCGCGTACGCCTCTCACCTCACAGCAGCTGCACGACTGGTACGGTCACCGTCAGGGTCATGCTGCTGGAGCTCGGGGCTCTGCCGCTGGAGGTACTTCTGCTGACGTCACTGGAGCTAGGAGTTGTACTGGTACTTTGTCTACTGGAGGTGCTGGAGTTGCTGGTCCCGGAGGTGCTCGTACTGGAGGTACTGGAGCTGCTGGGGCTGGAGGTGCTGTGTCTGGGGGTGCTGCTGCTGGAGACACTAAGGCTGGAGGCCCTGGGACTGGAGGTGCTGGTTCTGGGGGTGTTGCTGCTGGAGACACTGAGGTTGGAGACCCTGGGACTGGAGGTGCCGGTTTCGATGGTGCTGCTGCTGGTGACGCTGGTCCTGGAGGTGCTGGAGCTGCTGGGGGTGCTGGAGCTGCTGGAGGTGCTGGAGCTGCTGGAGCTGCTGGAGCTGCTGGTGCTGGTGCAGCTGCGCCGACACGACTGTTCTTCGCTCTGCCGTCTCCGTCGTCTCTGCCGCCGCCTGACTCTGTTCTTCGTCAGGTTCTTACCCTCCCGTCGTCTACTGGTCTTCCGTTACTGCCTGGCTCACCGCTCCCTGCTCCTCCTCCTTACACTGCGCAACCCGGTGGTCTTGCTGAGCGTCGTGAGCCTTCATCGCGTCCTGACTCGCCTGTTCCTCCTGGTTGTTCCAGTCGTCGTGTTCCTCGTTCGCGTCAGCCGGCTGTCCCCGGCACACACCTCGTAGTCCGTCGTCCTTCCTCTGCTCCGCAGCCTGTTCCTCTGCCGTCTCCCCCTGCGTCCTCTCTGCCTGACGTTGCGGACCCTGAGTCTGACCGGTTTCGTGCTGAGCACCCTACTGTCACACGTCTGCTAGCCACTGTTGTCACTGACCCGTCGTTTGAGTCTACTACTGCGTCTGCCTTGGTTGCTGAGCTTGTTGACTTTGCTGCTGCCTGTCGTCTAGACTACGCCGCTAGTCTTGTTGCTGAGTCTGAGTTTGTCTGTCCTCCGTCCGTCGGGGGTGAGTGTGCTCTTGACACGGACGTCCTTGAGGACAGGCACGAGGACCTTGAGTGTCTTGCAGCCGCTGCGCCTCATCTCGTGGCCATGCTGCTTGCCCCTGAGGGAGACCCGGATGCACCAGACATCCCGACCCCACGCTCTTACGCTGAGGCGATTGCGAGAGAGTACTCCTCTCAGTGGGAGGCAGCAGTGGACGCAGAGATGGCATCCTGGAAGTCCACAGGCACTTACGTCGATGAGGTTCCCCCTCTTGGGGCGAACATCGTCGATGGCATGTGGATTTTCAGGGTGAAGCGGCCGCCGGGTTTTCCGCCTGTCTTCAAGGCTCGTTACGTTGTACGAGGCTTCAGTCAGGGACATGGAGTTGACTTCTTCCAGACCTTCTCCCCTACCCCGAAGATGACCACTCTTCGGGTGGTGCTGCACGTTGCCGCTCAGCGTGACTACGAGCTTTACTCTCTTGACTTCAGCACAGCCTTCTTACAGGGCAGCCTGTACGAGGAGATCTGGCTGCGCCGCCCACCTGGCTTCACTGGGTCGTTCCCTCCTGGTACCCAGTGGAGCCTCCGGCGCCCAGTCTACGGTCTCCGCCAGGCACCTCGTGAGTGGCACGATACACCGAGGACTACACTTGCGGCTCTTGGGTTCGCTCCTTCGACTGCTGACCCGTCGCTGTTTCTGCGCACCGACACTTCGCTGCCGCCGTTCTACATCCTCGTGTACGTCGACGACTTGGTCTTTGCTACTGCTGACACTGAGGCTCTCGCTCTGGTGAAGTCGGAGCTGCAGAAGAGACACACGTGCACTGACCTGGGTGAGCTGCGCAGTTACCTTGGCTTGCAGATCATCCGGGACAGAGCACGCCGCACCATCACACTGACTCAGTCACACATGGTGCAGTAGGTCCTTCAGCACTTCGGCTTCACCTGGTCCTCCACACAGCCCACTCCTCTTGCTACAGGTCACTCAATCTCAGCTCCACCTTCGGACGAGTCCGTGGTCCTTACGCAGAGCTAGTGGGCTGCCTCATGTTCCTGATGACCTGCACTCGACCTGACCTTGCGTACCCTCTTGGCCTTTTGGCTCGCTACGTGGCTCTTGGTCGGCACCGAAAGGTGCATATGGATGTTGCGAAGAGGGTACTGCGCTACTTGTGCAGTACATCGGGCATAGGGCTCGTGCTTGAAGGACGGAGCGACGTTGTTCTCACTGGGCACTCAGACGCTTCTTGGGTTGACGACCAGGCTACACAGCGGCCGTCACAGGGTTACACCTTCAGCCTTGGCTCTGGCTCTGTTTCTTGGCGTTCTACTCGCTCGTCTTCTGTTCTCAGCTCCAGTTGTGAGGCTGAGATCTACGCCACAGCCATGGCTGCACAGGATTTACGCTGGCTACCTGCTGACCGACTTGGGAGAGAGGCTTAGTTCTCCTCCAGTTCTGTACGTCGACAACAAGGCCGCCATTGCCTTGTGTCAAGAGCACAGACTGGAGCACAGAACGAAGCACATCGCTCTGCATTACTTCCTGGCTCGAGAGTTGCAGCAGCGTGGTCAGCTTCGTCTTGCTCACGTGGCCACCAGGGCCAACACTGCTGATATATTCACCAAGGCACTTCCGCCTCGTGAGCATTAGCGCTTTTGTACTTTGTTGGGCCTCGTGCCTACGTTTCCTCACTTGCTGTAGGCTTTGCTTGTACTGTGATCTATGTATATATACCTGCATGCTTGCTCTTGCTAGGTAGTAATCACTGTACTGTGTTGTTGCATATATACCTCTGCATGTGAACTGGCCTTGTGGCCCTTTGCTTAGGCTCAGAATGCGTGGTGACTTTGTGATCCACCCTGAGCTTGCTTTGCCTTTCTTGACTGGTCCTGTGACCTCTTGTTCTCCCCCACTTTGCCTATGGGGGTGTGTCAAACATATATGCTGCTTATTGTGTAGGCTGTAGCGGGGTAGCCTTTATGGGGTACAACCCAAATTAGGGTTTCCTACTTGTACCCATCATGCTGCTAGTTCATTCATTCCTGCCTATAGTTTCTGACTTCTGACACGTCTCTCTACCTTTATGTACCCACTGTGATACACCGAATGGCCCCGGATATAGGCGCCGTCCGATTAAAGGCGCCGGCGCTTCTATCTGGAGCATGGCGCTTATGGCCGGAACTCGATTATAAGCGCCCCCCCTGTGAAACCCTGATTTATTATAAAAGCATGCGTAATTATATGTTGCAATCCTAATTAAATTAATAGCCAATTTCAATTTTCAAGTGAGTAAGCACCCATTTTCAGTTTGTTTGACTTTCGCGGTCCTGACTGGCTGCGCGTCCAGTCAGGATGAGGTGGTACGCATGCAAATTGACGTGCCAAAGCTCTGTGCAGCGTGAGATCGCCCTCGCGCGATTCTGATTAAGGACGCTGTAAAATTTCGATTCAGTTCAACTTACGAGATTGAAAATGTACAATTTGGTCCGTTTATGTTGTTTCTGTATTTGTCATTATATAAGCGCGGGCACTTATGGCCGATACTCAATTAAAAGCGCCCCCCTAAAAAAAACTGATTTTATTATAAGCGCATATGCGCTACTATCCGGGGTGATACGGTACTACCGGTATGCACAAGAGCTTCATGCGTATTTGTTTGTTTGTTTTTTGCCTTAAGAGTAGTGAAGCAGATGTGACATGCCAAAAGGGGTAGAACGGAATATTTCCTTGCATCTATTTACAGCATCTTGCATCTCTTACCGTATCAGTGTCATCACGCATTCATGCAAGCATATTGCCATTCATATATTACCGTATTCTCCCGGATATAGGAACCTCCCGAAAAAAAGACCCCCGGGACTTATGATCGGGTCTGGGACTCTTAATATGTATGCTATATGAGAGGACCCCCCTTTGCTATAAAACATTTTAAGACCCCCCTTTTCTGTATACACTAGTCAAAATTGAAAATGCGCGTCAGCTTTTAGAGGCACAGAATCCGAAATCTGACGCGTCATTTGTGTCAGATTCGGGTTCTGACACACCAATCATGTCAGATGCGAAATCTGACGCTTCTGACGCGCCGCTCGCAAGAGTTTCACGCACGCGAGATTTTTTAGGTTCGAACATAAGACCCCCCCCCCCCCTTTCAAATTCAAGTGTACACCCCTAAATCGCATAAGTGTACATGATTATTAAGTGTACCCGGGACTCTTACAACTCGTTTCGATTAAATGTTCACCCTAGTCATTTTGCCTCTATTTTAGGAAAGTCCCCCGGGTCTTATATCCGGGAGAATACGGTAATAGGAATTGTGATTGAATTCAATACATTTATGTAAAAACATTTTGTAGGGGCCGCATGCCAAGTTAATCCCTTCATACCCAACGTGTCAAGCTTTGCGACCACCATCCGTCCCTAGGAATGGGGATAAAGCGTACAAAAGTGAAAGAAGGGCAGGGGGGTGAAGGGGAGAAAGATAGGGGGAAAGGGAGGTGAGTAGAACTGGAGGAAAGGGATAGAAGAGAAGGGCTGGGGGAAAGGGGGAGAAGGACAGGGGGAAAGGGAGCTGAGAAGAAAGCAAGTAAAGGGAGAGAAGGGCATGGGGAAAGGGAGAGAAGGACAGGGAAAGAAAGGGGAGAAGAGAGGGGAAAAAGGGGTTGAGAAGAAGGGAACTGAAGGGAGAGAAGGACACGTGAAAAGGGGGAGAACAGCATGGGGAAAGGAAGAGAAGTATAGGGGGAAAGGGAGCTGAGAAGAAGGTGATGGAAGGGAGAGAAGCACAGGGGGAAAGGGAGATAAGGACAAGGGGAAAGGGGGAGAAGGGCAGGGGGAAATGGAGGGAACGACATGGGGGAAAGTACGGGAAGGATAGGGGGAAAGGGAGCTGAGAAGAACTGGAGGAAAGGGAGAGAAGGACAGGGGGAAAGGGGGAGTAGGACAGTGGGAAAGGAGAAGAAGGACAGGGGGGAAGGGAGCGGAGGAGAACAGGAGGGAAGGGAGAGAAGGACAAGGGGAAAGGGGGAGAAGGACAGGAGGAAAGGAGGAGAACGACAGGGGGGAAGGGAGCTGAGAAGAACAGAAGGAAAGGGAGGGAAGGACAGGGGGAAAGGAGGAGAAGGACAGGGGGAAAGGAGGAGAAGGACAGGGGGAAAGGAGGAGAAGGACAGGGGGAAAGGAGGAGAAGGACAGGGGGAAAGGAGGAGAAGGACAGGGGGAAAGGAGGAGAAGGTTCCCGTCTGCCGCGGCGGCCCGCCCGCGGCGGGACGGCAACGCCACCCGCACAAAGGCGGGAGCTGAGAAGAAGGGAACGGAAGGGAGAGAAGTACAAGAGAAAGGGAGAGAAGGACAGGGGGAAATGGAGGGAAAGACATGGAGGAAAGTGCGGGAAGGACAGGGGGAAAGGGAGCTGAGAAGAACTGGAGGAAAGGGAGAGAAGGACAGGGGGAAAGGGGGAGAAGGACAGGGGGAAAGGAGGAGAAGGACAGGGGGAACGGGGGAGTAGGACAGGGGGGAAGGGAGCTGAGAAGAACAGGAGGAAAGGGAGGGAAGGACAGAGGGAATGGGGGAGAAGGATAGGGGGAAAGGAGGAGAAGGACAGGGGGGAAGGGAGCTGAGAAGAAGGGAACGGAAGGGAGAGAAGTACAGGTGGAAAGGGAGAGAAGGACAGGGGGAAAGGGGGAGAGACAGGGGGAAATGGAGGGAACGACATGGGGGAAAGTGCGGGAAGGACAGGGGGGAGAGGGAGCTGAGAAGAACTGGAGAAAAGGGAGAGAAGGACAGGGGGGAAAGGGGAGAAGGATAGGGGGAAAGGGGGAGAAGGAAAGGGGGAAAGGGAGAGAAGGACAGGGGGAAAGGGAGGAGAAGGACAGGGGGGAAGGGAGCGGAGAAGAACAGGAGGGAAGGGAGGGAAGGACAGGGAAAAAGGGGGGAAAGGACAGGGGGAAAAGAGGAGGACAGGGGGGAAGGGAGCTGAGAAGAACAGGAGGAAAGGGAGGGAAGGACAGGGGGAATGGGGGAGAAGGACAGGGGAAAACGTGGGAGAAAGACAAGGGGAAAGGGAGGGAAAGACAGAGGGGAAGGGAGAGAATGGCAAGGGGTAAGGGAGAGAGGGACAGGGGGAAAGGGAGAGAATGACGGGGGCTAAGGGAGAGAAGGATAGGGGAAAAGGGAGAGACAGGGGAATTTGGAGGATCGGCGAGAGAGAGACTGGAGGGTCGAGCCGATTGCTACCGTCGCGCTTGTGCTGCCTGCAGCCATTGTGCCCGTCGTTGTTCCCCGTAGTCCCCTTAGGCATTGCAACACGGGCAGTGGGAAAGGGAGAGGATGGAGCAGTGGGTTTAGGGGGATGATGGAGCAGTAGGATAGGGGGAGGGTTGGGAAAGGGGGAAGTGGATGGGACGGGGGGAGAAAAGGGTGGGACGAGAGCGTGGGAATTGGCATGGGCCGGAGGGAATGGTGAGGGAATGGCAAGGGGGAAAGGTAGGGACGGACAACGAGCGATGGCGATTTGGGAGCTGTGAAACCGCAGGGGCTTATGGTTATGCCCTGGAACAGGGATGACGACATAGGAGGATGTGCCATGGGGCATAGGGTCAGGGGGAAAATGCCCTAGAACAAACACGGATGAAAGCGACGGATGCCATCACATCAACCGCCGCCGCCGTATGCCATCACTGCTCGTCCCGCATGGCCGTCCTCGCATCTACTCACGTCTGGTAGTGGAAAGGTAAGTAAAGTGGGGTAAGCAAAGGGCCAATAGAAGGGGGAAAGGGTGAGAAGATGGGAGAAAGGGAGGGACGGGTGGGGGGGAAACGAAGGGTGGAGAAAAAGGGGAAATAAGCGTGGGGGGGTGGGTAAGGGAAGGGACAGGGAGAGGAGGGAAGAACGGGGACGGGAATGAAGGATGCAAGGGACGGCTGGAGGGGGGACAGGCCGACGGACGGGGATGGGGGAGGGGCTGGTTCATGATGCTGCTCGCTCCCGTTTCGTCGGCCACTTGCCGATACCACCGTCCTCCCGATGCGTCACCCCGATTGTCGTTACCGTCGTCCCGCTGCTAGCTACCGTCGCCCCGCTGCTAGCTACCGTCGCCCCGCTGCTCGCTACAGTCGCCCAGCTGCTCATATCGTCGGCCCGCTGGTCGCCATCGTCGCCCCGCTGGTCGCTGTCGTCGTCACGAGAAAATCATATCGTCGCCCCGCTGCTCGCCACCGTCGCACCCATTCCTGCCTGTCGCTACCGCTCTTCCAACCCTAAACCGCAGATACGTGAGGAATGGAGGGGCGGGAGAGGAATAAGGATGGCAGCGGAGGAAAACGAGCACAATGCGCTTGGGGAACGACTAAAAAGGCGACTACGAGGTACAAAATAGCGCAGATATTCGTGCACCCATTAAGAGACCATGAAGCGCGAGAAATCGTCGCCAAATTGCTCGGTAAAAGCACTTCAAGTTAGTAGAGGTATGACGTGACTATCCGACCACCATACAAGGTGCCCCTTTTAAAGCTGAGTTCGTCCTCCGAGAATATGGGCGACTTATTCTTCTTGACTTCATGTATCAGTGTTCAGACTGGTGAATAGCGTTTCAAAGCGGTAAAGTAAGCAAATCGCTGGAGAATGGACAGCTTCTTTTTCCACCGCGTTTACTGTTCTGAATCGAGAGTGAATGGGGTCTGTCACGGCAGATGGGCACGTTCCTCTCTATGTCTGCGCTGCTGTTTGTTCACCACCTGCACGCTCCCGCCAGATGTTTGCTTTCGGACTCGAACTATTACTACTTACGCATTCTTTCATCCTAGAGCATCCTGTTGATTTTCTGCACCTTAGACTTTTTAGGTTTATCCCATTGTTCATCGTTTGTCTACAGTCGCACTTCAAATGGCTGCCGCCGTTCGCGTCGTCCCACCTTCCGAAGCGAAACAGCTGGTCGACTCCGGTTACGTCTTTCTCGATGTTAGGTGAGAAGGCATCGGCGTTAGCGTGCCTCGTTTCTAAGGCTGACTGAAAGTTTGTCTGTCCGCTTCCGCTGCGAGAGATAGTATCCAGCTCGCACACTGCACGTATCGGTCTGGAGTAGTTTCAAACCAGCGAGCATCAGAACCTGCCTTCATGTTTTGGGGTTTGCCGAAGCGTTGGATTGTACTTTGGTTCGTGGCAACTTTCAGCCAGTCTGTATCAGTAATGAATTGGCGACAGCGCATAACTCGTCTTCGTAGCGTTTTTTTGGAAGTTTTATGTGCGGTCCGCGAGTGCCGAGGTGTCGAGGTGAAGAGTCGACTTACGAGCCTCCTGGAGGGTTTCCTCGACGTTAACATGTTGTGCTGCCGTGCAGAACACCTCAGGAATATGCATCTGGGCACGTCGCGGGGTCCTCCAACATTCCGTTCATGCTCACCGCTTCTGACGGTAAACCCTTCCCGTTCTTTGTCCACTCACCAAACTGTTTTGTGCATCAGGCATTCTATGGCGCATGGCTTCCCTTCGCGCTGTATCGCATACGGAATTGAAGAAGTTGAAATATGGCTGAAATGATGCTCACATATATCCAGGTTCTTGTAGACGGAGGAGTAGTTCGTGCATTATCAGGATAAAGACACTTGGGCTGAAATGACACTTAATAATTATCCTAACGTGTTCGTGCATGCGTGGACTTTCAGGATCCATGGTTAGAAATGCGGAGTTCCTGGATCAAGTGAAGGCCAAGTACTCACACGACACGCCCCTTGTTCTGGTAGGCGATGCAACGTCGTCTGGTGGGACGTCCAAAGACTCAGTATCCAAGGCCTCATTTGCTCCGTTAATCTTCACAGTTTAACCATTGTTCTCACCTATCTCGTAATTTCTTCTATCTAGGCTTGCCGAAGCGGAAAGAGGTCAAACATGGCTGCCAACGCCCTCAGAGAAGTGGTGAGAAATGGGAAAATGGAGGTACCTGGGCAAGAGGGGAGTGTATTGTGGCACTTATGACACTTTCCGTTCCTTTTCTGGCAGGGCTACACATCACTTGCGGATATGGAAGGTGGAATGTTGGCCTGGAAGGGTTCGTTGGCTCCTTGATAGGAGCCTGTATACTGTACCTTGCATGTAAAGAATTACAGAGAGTGGATATAACCTTGCCTTAAAATCCAGTGTACTATGTTTGAAGCCGCTCGCCTCATCCCGAAGCGCCTTCTTTTTGCATTGACATTCGCCAGCTCCGTCCGCGCTATAGGTGCAACCTCACTGTCCACTCGACCACATTTTCGGCGAGTGTCACATTTTGCATTGCATTTGGCCAACATTTCGCACCCCCAACCCAACCCCCAGCATCTACTTGCGTTGAACCTTGCACATCCAATGCAAGCTGGATTGCTATGCAACCGTGCAACGCGGCCCCCTTGCTCGGTTGGCATTCAGAGTAGCTGAACGATCCTCCATTGTTTTGACAATGAAATACCTTCGAATTTTCCACAAAACGCGCAGCTGCAGTTTTTTCGCCGCCGTGGCGGCAGCATTTCAAAGCTCAATCATTCCCGTCAGTCACTTCTGCGGCATCTGTTTTGCTCTTGGAGTTCGCCGTTCGCCTTCCTCTGAAACGCAGAAATGACGTTTTCAGCGCCGGCGACGCATGTAGAATGCTCCAGTACCCCGGACAACAAAAACCTCTCATTCCTCTGCAGCGTCCCTCAGGCTGACCTCGCATGCTCCACCGCACAACCACCAGCGCCCGTCAATCTGCTATCGACGTCTCTCAGAGTGCTACCAGCGACGCTTGGTCGCGTGTTCGCGGTGTCGGCGCTGCTGCTCGTCGCGCTCTCCACCGTCTCGCAGTACCGCGATTTACAAGCAGCCGCGATAATGGCGCAGCCGCCCTTCCCCGTGCTGCCACCGTTGGAAGTCCATCGGCTCGTGGATGGGCAAGGCTACGTCTACCTGGACGTCAGGTGAACACTCTGAGATTTCGAACGCGCTGCAAGGCGTCTCAACGCCGTCTTGCACATGATGGGCTAGTAAAGGCTCTGTTCCGTTTCATCATCGCGAATGCTTGTTTCCACTAAGACGAGGGTTCCGTTCGGATCCTTCCTCAAAGATACTCCGTGCCACGTGCCGCGGTGCTTGTATTGCGTGGCGCAGGACGGCTGAGGAATTTGCGCAGGTGCACGTGCCGGGCTCCGACCTCATTCCCTACCTCATCACCGCACCCGACGGTACGCCCCGCTCCCACCATTTTCCCCGCGAAGTTCCTCTCTCTTTGTTCTTCTTCTTTTCGTTTCTTTTCCCCCCACAGCACGTTTCGCTCTCCCGTCCCCGAATGCGCTTTCAACTGATTTCACGTCTAAAATCAGCGTGCGATGCGGCGTGTTCTGAGATGCAGCCCCACTCACGCGCCTCGTACACCCAACGCAATGCGCTTCTTGTTCCTGCAGGTTCACAGCAGCCTAATCCCCATTACCTCCAGCAAGTGAAGGCCAAATACGCCCTCGACACGCCCCTCATCGTGGTACACTGCCATACCCACCTCCCAACCCATTCCGTGAAGCATCTCGAGGCGCGTGCCTCACTATCATCACGTGCTGCACCTTTTCCCTCAACCGCACGTGGTATCCACACCGTTCAAGTTCACGAGCTGTACTCCCTTTCTCCCGCCAAAACACCCCCACCCCTCCGCTCCCCAGGCCTGTCGCAGCGGCAGGAGGTCCAACCTGGCAGCGTGGGAGATGACGGCCCAGGTGAGCCACGAACAACAATGTGCTATTCTGCTAAGTACAAGCATGCCCTCTACTGCATGTCGTCCTTGCCCCGTGGTATAACATCTCGGGTTTGCTTGCTCTGCTGTGCACATGGCAGGGATTCACAAGGCTCGTGGATCTCAAGGGGGGCATCATCGCATGGGAGGAGAGCGGGTTGCCCGTGGTGAGGCACAGCAGCAAGCTTGACGGGAGTGACCATCCCCCTGTCGTCCATGCAAGCAGGATGTCTGGCTGACCTTCCTATGCACTGTACAGGCCATACTCCTAGGGTCGAACCACCTACCCATACCTGGTCTGGGATATGGAAGATTAGAGAGCTTCTGGATAAATCTCGGGATGTACCATCTTGTTACTTCCCGTAATGTATATCTCGTATATGTAATTTAACAACACTGTAGCATCCAGTCACCACTCGCCCAGGTTCATGGCCACAAATCCGCTGTACAGCCGACCACCAGTGGCTCTGAGCTCGTTGATGAGGCGACTCCAGTTGGACCCCAGCGACCCGATGAACACGTCGCACTGCGCTGCGATGAGCAAGCTCGCCAGGCTGGCAGCCACGGACTGGGCGGCGTCGTACTCGCGGATGCGCTCCGAGTCCGATGGCTGGCGGGCGTTGGTGGCGAAGAGGAAGTGCCAGTCGGGGTAGTGCGCCGTCTCGTTGATCACTGACTGTGCCATGCGTGGGAGAGAAGGGCAGGGGGAGGCAGCGGACCGCAATGTGTGGGACTGTGGGAATGTTGAGTGTGCAAGTGATGGGCACAGAGTGTGGCATACTGACATAGCACGGAGCACATGTCTTAGACCATGTGAAAAAGTAACGTACCCAAGGGTTCTTTCTCACCTGACGGCCCGAGACGAACCACAAGAGTTGGAAAAATGCAAAAAAAAGAAAAGTTCACATGAGACGCACGGGGCCTTGTCCCGTGCATTAACCCCACCGTCAAGAACAGGGGTCCATATTGGCTTGGCGCTATCTGAGCCTCGGTGTCCGCCCACACCCGCCCCACATGCACTGCGGCATGTTGTGGCTCACAGGGAGAGGCACAACACACAGCACATGTGTACGAGAGTGCACGCCCCACCCACCTGAGCCTCCGTGTTGAGCCACACGTGTCGCAGGTCCACCATGGCGTGGCGCAGGCGGTAGGCGAGGAACATGTGGGCGGGCAGCGACAGCACCCGCATCTCTGACAGCTTGTCGCTCTGCCTCACATGCATGCTCACTATCGGCCGCTGCATGTACGGCTCTCTGGCTAGGTCTGTGGGTGTGCTGGGCGGTGACATGCGGCACCAAGCGGTACTGGCGGTAGGTGGGGGATCCATAGGAGTGTTAGGGGACGCCGAAGCGGCAGATGCAGTGGCAGCAGCAGCAGTGGTAGCGGCAGCAGGTGAAGCATCACTACCGCACGACTCATAGTGTTGGAGAGCGCGTGAGAAGGCATGGAGTGAGGAGAGATGAGAGGAGGGGGGTGAGGATGGGGGGTTGGTGGAGTGAGAGAAGGAGTGGAGGGAAGCGATGCGATTGGCTGTGTGCATGCCGTAGGCGGTGTGTCTCTGCTGGTTGATGACGTGGCAGAGATGGGCTGATGGCCACCTCAGCATGAAGCGCAGCGCCTGCGCCCGCCACCAGTGCACCTGGCGGGGGGGAAGGGGAAAGCAGAATAAAAATCAGGACAACGCAAAGGGGCACCCTGCGCCCACCACCAGTGACGGGGTTGGAGGGGGGAGTAGACAGTGAGCGGCCGCTTTTGTATTTATATCCAATTGGGGTGGGTGAAAAGGACGGGTGAAAACAGAAGAACAGGTCAGGAAACGAGAAGACGACAGAAGTGCACATTTATTCGGGTACGTCAGGGAGGACGAGGGGCGGAGGAATGTGTTTAGGAGGCTTTTAACTGGAGGCGAAACGAGTTGTTGTATGCAAGCATGGATCTCGTACCTACAGTCATGTCTCGCATGTGGCTGGCTGCATGTGTCATGACTCATACCTCACCAGGGCTCATACCTCACCAGGGCTCTATACCGGCAGCACCAAAGGCACGCAAGCTGAAGGACTGATTGCCTGGCTTGCCCCACCCGCACTTCTGCTCGTGACCGCCTGCCCCACCTGCCCCCGTCTCACCATCTTGGTGTCGGCGCTGGTGGGCGCCACATGGCCACCATGCTCCACCACGTCAGCGTCCGCCAGGTAAGCATCGCCCCACAGCCATGCCACGCGGCCCTCATAGCTCATGAACACGTCCGTGGTGGGGTCCAGACACACCGCCTGCTGGGGGGGCACAATGGGAGGTGGAAGGGACGAGGCAGAGGGGGAAGGCAGAGGAGGGGGGAAGCGGATTAGGCTCCTCGTAGCTCATGAAGAGGTCCGTGGTGGGGTCCAGACTCACCGCCTGGTGGGGGAACACACACATGCCAGGTGAATCTTCAGATGGCCACAAGGAGCCTCAGGGGTTCTAGCAAAGTTGCTGTGCGGCACGGCCCTTGTAGGCCATGAAAACGTCCGTGGTGTGGTGGGGTCCAGAGGGGGAAGGTGGACTAGCATCCTCGTGGGTCATGCAGACGTCCGTGGCGGGGTAGAGACGCACCACCTGGTGAGGGGGGGCAGGGCACAGGGGGAGGTGGAGGAGGGGAGGCAGAGAGGGCGAGGCAGAAGGTGGGGGCAGATGAGCACCTCCCTGTTGCATGACATGACGACGCCCCTGGCGGGGTTCAGGCACACCCACCTGACGGGGGCACGCTCACACACGGCAGGTGAATCTCCAGGTGGTTTCAGGTTCCACAAGATGGGGTTGTGTAGTGCGTGGCTGTCGTTGATGACGGCAGGTGAGGGGAGGAAGAGGGCAGGGGGCATGGACGGGAGGCGGAGGGGGGAAGGCCGATGGCGAGAGGGGGAGGCAGAAGGGGAGAGGCGGCGGGGAAAAGGCGGAAAGGGGGAGGCGGATGTGCATGTCCCGGTGACACACAGAGGTAGATGGCACGAGTGTTGCACCCACACAGTTGTGAAGGCGCTCTTGGGCCGGGACAGCAAGCGTCTCACCTGCTGCTGCTGCACTGCTCTGCACTGCACTGCACTGCTCCCCCATGCAACAGCTCCTCCCTCGGGAAAGCACACAAACCAGCACCGAGCAGTCTACTGCACATGGCAACACCGCTTTTAGCCACTTGCTAACACGCGCCTGTTGCTCTGACTGCGCGGCCCTATCGTACCCTCGCCCAGCCCCTCCCCCGTGACGCGCTACCTGATGGCATCTCCTCTTCTACTCTCCGCCAACCTGCCTACCACCCCCACCAGGCCCACGCACTCACTTATTGCTCCGACTGCGCGGCCCTGTCGTACCCCAGCTCCTCCCCCGTAAGTCATGACACACTCCCCGATGGCGTCTCCGCTCCTCTCAGCTAACTTACCTGCCACCCCCACCACCCCCAGCAGCCCCAGTCACGCACCTGTTGCTCCGACTGCGCAGCCCTATCATAGCCCAGCTCCTCCCCCGTGACGCAGTCCCCGATAACGTCCTGTGCGCGCAGGCGGTTGAGCTCCACCTCGCAGTCAGGGGACACCATGGGGAAGAAGAAACACTCCCACGCGCCCTGCTGCCCTGTCGCTGCACGGCGAGATGCGGAGGGCAGAGAGCGCCAGGGAGCCGCGAGAGGAGGGAGGGCAGAAGAAAAAAGGAGAGCTGGGTGAATGGGGAGAGAGTGTGGGTAAACAGTCTACCGTCGAAGCGAGCAGAGGCGATAGGGGGTCACAGGGTTCGTGAAAAAAGGGTGATGGAGAGGGCCAGGGTACAAGGCAATTGGAAAAGGGACAAGGCGCGGAGGAGGAGAGCAACCGAGAGCTGTGAGAACAAGGGGCATGAACAGCAACCTCAGATATGTGCGAATAAAAAAGGACGAGTTGAAATGCTTGGAAAGCTGGGGTGCGTGAGAGCAGTGGCACACGGTGCAAGTGGGAGCGACCTTGACAGTGGGGGTGGTTGGCGCGGTCAAAGGAGTTGGCGAGGGGGATGAGCGTGCGGTTGTAGAGCATGGCCAGCCCCAGGAACGCGCCCATCAGATGCACCTGCGCGCAGGGGGGGGGAGGGGAGAGGCAGGAGGACGGGAGGGAAAGAGCGGGAGAGGAGAGGAGGGGATTGGGGAGAGTGACGAGAGGAGTGAGTGTGGTTGTGCATCAGATGCACCTGCGAACGTTGGGGGAGGGGGGGTGGAGGAGAGACGGGGCGTGTGCAAGAGGGAGAGAGGGGACGGGGACGATGATGAGATGAGAGAGAGAGTGTGGTTGTGTGACATGGGTCGAGTCAAGGTGGGGCGACAAGCTGATGGTGGGATGGGATGGGAGGGAGAAGACGGAGACGGGCAATGGTACGTTGACTGGCGTTGACTCACCTGCGACCCCACGCCATGGTACATGCCTGTGCTCACCTGCGACCCCACGCCATGGTACATGCCTGTGCTCCACGGCACGAGCAGCAGGCGCCGACCCTGGCAGGCGCGGGGCGGCAGCATCTGGTGCAGCCAGATGTCGCGCTGTGATTGGCGCGTCATGGCCAGGTTGTTGCTGTCCGCCCCCCGCACCTTGGGGGATGTAGACGGGGGATGGGCGGGGTGGGAAGAGCGCGTGGGGAAGGGCGCATGGGGAAGGGCGGGGGAAGTGGGCGCATGGAACAAGGGCGTATGGGAAAGAGGGGTTTGGGTAAGGGCAGGGAATGGGTGGATTGGAAGGAGGCGGAGAGATGCGAGAGAAGGAAAAAAGTGGAAAGACAGAGGGAGGAGAGAACAGAAGAGGGGCACAGAGAGCAGTGAAAGTACAGACATACACAATGAGGAAAAGGCACAGTGGTGGCGGAGGGATGGAAGGCAGAAGAGCAAGCAGTGGAGTGGACATGGGTTGAGTGAGGCTGGTGGGAGCACGAGGCGGGTGGGTGCGTTACGCTACTGCCTTGTCTCACCATCACTCCCTAACTTCACCTCTCACAAGTATACTCTCACACCCAACCAGCTTAAATCACCGATACCCCTCTCCTCCTCACTCCGTCACTCACTTGCTCACCCACGGTGGCTGTGGTGGGCAATTGCAGGATGAGGAGGACGACGACGACGAAGTCTCCCCAGGTGAACTTTCCGCATGCCATGTGCCCCGCGGGTGACAGCACCCGCCCTCGCTGCTCCGCGGCGGGTCCGCCCATGCTGGCGGCTCCCCCCCTTCCCCCCGCTGCTCCGCCTGCTGGCGCAGCGCTGTGAGCGCGGCGCAGTCCTCGAGATGAGGGGCGGGGGGGAGGGACGGCGGAAGGGAGAGGGGCGAGGGCGGAAGCAGCGAGTCGGCGGAGAGCCCGTAGGCGTCCGCCCACGTCTGCGGGGGTGTTTGGGGGTCGGGGGGGGAGTGAAGGGAGGGAGGGGGTTTGGGGAGGCGAATGGGAAGGGAGAGGGGGAAGGGACGGGGGAGGGAGAGCGAGCAAGGATGGAGCCGGGGAACGGAAGGACATGTTAAGGCGGCGAGAGGAAGAATCGCAGGAGCAGGGTTGAGGGGCGGCGGCAGAGGGCGAGAAGGCGACGGTGGGTGGGCCATGAAGGGTGGACACGATGGGCAGGGCGCTTCCAGTTCGTGAAAAGGCTGTGGCGGACGGAGCAAGCCTGAGCGTCACAGCTGTACCCAGGGGCGCTGCTGGGGGGGAAAATAGTGGCGGCTGCCTGCGCGCACTCCCGCTGTTGTCTCACCCGATACAACGACATGGCGTGCTCCATTCCCGCCGCCCCTTCCATAGCGCTCACGACCGTCGATGCAGTCTTGCTGGACAAGTCGCACGGCGAGGCGCAAAGCATCGTCGCCACGACGAATGCAACGAGCGAAATTGGCCGGCGACGAGATGGAGCATGGCGTGCGCGTGTGTGTGCCATGATCATCAGCAGGTCCGCGATCCCATGGCCTCCGGCATCTTGAAATGTGAGTTAAAAGAAAGTCAAGTAGACCATTCTGTTGTTGACGCAAACATGGGGGTGTAGCTCACATGGTAGAGCGATCGCTTTGCATGCGATAGGTACGGGGATCGATACCCCGCGTCTCCACTCATTCAACTTTTCCAAATGTTGAATTCCCTCTGGAAATAAGTATCATGTGGAAAATAATCGAATTGAGGAGGTTATTACGAAGGGGCAGATCTCTTGGTAGCTTTACCAACTTTTTGCACCTTGGCGGCCAAATCAGCGACCATGCAACGAGATCCGGACCTGGGAGAGACATCGGCGACTTCGGAGCCTAATGCCCACGGGCAAGTTTGCTCCAAGCGTGAGCTAACCACCTCAATTGGCCAAGTAGGCAGTCACGCCCTTGCCAGAGCCTGTAGCAAAGGACAATTAAAATCCTGAGGACCCGGGGATCTGAGAGTGAGGCAGGGAGGGGGAGGGGGCGAGGGGCGGGGGGTTGACGACGGCTTGACAACGCTACGACGGGGGCCACGAGGGGCGCATGGGGGGTGGGGGGGGGATAGCGGCGCCCACTCAGACGCTTCGCCAAATAGCTGGCCACAAAAGTCGGGGAGGGCTTGCGGAGGAATTCCCAGTGTCCGCGCATGCTTTCCGTCAAACGGCCTGGCCATCCCCACGTCAACGCGTCGCCCCTGTGTCGCGTGAAGGTGTTTCGCGAATTGGCGAAGCTTGTAGCTGTGGAGACAACAACTTTGTCGCAGGTAATGTCGATCGACGTCACATATTCTGGCACCAACTCACCCGAATGACGATGTTTCCACCTTGGTATATGTCTGTTAAAATAGGAAATCAACTAGGAGGTAGGGCTTAGGGTTTGAGCTTAGGACGAGGGAAATTGGAATGGCCAAGGAGGGTTCCGTAATCACGAAGGGTACAAAGATATAACAACGGAGAAGGCAAGGTACACCACCTACACCAAGTAAGATACACTACACTCTACACTACAGACAGTTATAAAGACTATATAAGTATACTCTAACATACCCCATAATTACCTGTAGTGAAGAACCTTGTGCACAACACCCCCTGAAGGGGTACACCACACAGCGATGGAAGGAGATGGCAAGCGAGGAGATGAAGGGACCATGAGAGGAGAGGAGGTGGTGGGCGGCGGCGAAGCTGTTGCACACGGGCAACTGGAGCAACAGGCACACGGGCAACTGCAGTAACTGGCACATGGGCAACTGCAGTAACTGGCACACGGGCAACTGTATTAAATGGCTCTGCAACTAGACAAGCGGTTGGAGCAACTGACTCACAGGCGTTTGGAGCAACGGGCTGACGGGCGACTGGAGCAACGGGCCTACAGGCGATTGGGGCAACGGGCTCATGGGCAACTGGAGCTGCTGGCTTCACGGCGGCCACCCCTCCTTCACCACCCCCCCTCCCCCCCCATCACCCTTCAGCCTACAGGCGCATGCAACCCTACCGCCAGTCCCCCGAACCCCAACACCCTCTTGCCCCCCCTTCTTTCTGCTACATGCTCAGCAGGGAGAGGGAAAAGAAGGGGGGCGGGGTAGAGGCTGCACTTGCGACAGTGGATTTGTGTGCAACTGCACGCACTGCAGCCGCCACCCACGCAGCTGCGCATAGCTTCGAACACGCGCAGCCGCAGTGCGCACAGCTGCTACTGCGCGTAACGAGGGTAGAGGGGGCGACGGGAAGCGGGCGACGAGGCTGTGGGCGACGGGGCCGCGGGCCGACAAAATGGCGCGGAGTGACGCGTGGGCCGCGGGGCGACGAAAGGGCATAGGCCGATGAGGGGGTGTGGGACGACGGGGCGTCCGGCGAGGGCTGCAGCAGCGAGGAGACGAGGCAGGGGGTTTGCACAACGAGGCAGATTCCGAAGCGCGCGCGAAACACCCTTGGACCGCGTGTTAGAAGTGGTTTCGCCGCTGCACCGACTTCAAGAGCGTTAAAACGACAAAAGGGACGCCTGGAAAATGCCTTACCTATGGCGGTGGGAAAGAATAGGCTGAAAATCGAGTTTCTGGCGGTGGGAGGAGTTAGGTGAGAGATCGTGAGGAAGAGCTGGTGAAAACGAGGGTTTCAGGAGGAAGAGAAAGGAGAACATTCTGGACCGCCAGAATTTTCCCAACCTTTCTGGAGGCGGTGTTTGGTGGAATTGAAGAAAGTCGGTTTCACCGACGGTTCAGTTTGAATTACGGTTTTCAACGTCGGTTACTGTTACGAATTCCGGATTCGCGACGAGGCGCATTACGCGAGGCGCACTTTGAAATTCGGATTTCAGATTGCTTAAATATCATGTTCTGTTTTCCTCATTGTATCGGATTTTCATTGTGAAATTTACTGCTTGCAACCTGGGTTGGAAAACAACCTACTTCTTCAACTTTCAGTTCAAATTTGAAGCCCGCTACTGCTGTTTTCGTGACCTGCTAAGTCACGTACTGACCGCGACCAAGTCTAAGAGCTGGTATCAGAGCTGGTTCTAGTGCGTTTCAAGAATTAAAGAAGGGCCAACACAAGTTCATGTATCATGCCGAACGGGGATGGTGAGGCAAGCTCGGGTTCTTCAGTCAGTGCTGAAGTTACCCAAGTCCAAGCCCTCTTGGAGGCCCTAACACAAGGGCAAATGGTGGCCAGGCCAACGATCGGCCTGAGCAAGGCGCAACGGTTCAATGGTAACAACTACAGCACATGGCGTCTTAAGTTCATGCGGCGTGCAAGAGAGATTGATATCTGGCACTTCTACAAGGCGGACGAGGAGACGGAGGAAGGAGTACCTCCACCTGCAACGGCAACGGCACAAGAAAAGAGGACATACAAGAAGAAGAGTTTACAGGCCTTCTTCCAACTGTGTCACTCGGTCTCAGACTCCATCGCTGTGGGGCTGGACCAGTTTGCAGACGACATCAACTCAGCACAATGTGCATGGGCATACATGGAAGCAGTGTATCTCGGACGCACTGACACAAATCTGACTGCAGTGAGAAAGAAGCTGTTGCTGCTCGCAATGGAGCCAACAGAGAAGATTATTGACTACGTGAATAGAGCCAAGAGCTACAATGACGATCTCACGGCAATTGGGGCACCCGAATCAGAGAAGCACATGATGGGATACATCATCAGCGGTCTATGTAAGGAGTGGACAGCAGAAATCGGAATCCTTACCTGCAACACGCCCAAGGATATGACCCAGCTGCTTGAGACCCTCCAGGCGCTTGAGCTGGTCAAATCTGACCTGAAAATGAGGGAAGCAGTGGCAATGGCAGCAGAGGACAACAGGCCTGCAAATCTGAATGCAACAACGACACCAAGAAACTCTGGCAGCTGCTACCACTGCGGGAAGAAGGGTCACAAAGCTGCGGACTGTTATTCCAACCCCAATGCAAGAAACTACAAAGGGATAGGGCGCTGGCAGCAAAACAGCGAGACGGGACGTGGAGAAGGCTACAAGGCAAGCGGAGGATTCAATGGAAATTGCAACCATTGCGGCAAATATGGGCACAAGGCTTCCGATTGCTACCACAACCGAGCTAGCAGAAACTTTCGTGGAAAGGAGCTGCAACAACAAAGGCCAGCAGCAGCAGCGAAGACAAACCTAATGGAGGCACCTGCAGCTGTGGAAAAAACACCAAAGGTGGACAACATCCTTGGAGGCGCCCACAAAGCCAACGTTGCTCGAGCATCCGAGGTGTGCCTGCTGTCAAAAGGATTCAAGGACAGCGGGTGTACACAGCACATGACACACTGGGCTGATTGGCTACGCAACTATCGAGAATCCGGAGTCCCTTATGTCCTACTCGGGGATGAGGGAAAACTTCAAGTGCAAGGAGAAGGGGACCTGATCTTACAGAGTCCTTATGGGGAGCTGAAAATGGACAACGTTCTACTAGTGCAGAAGCTGTCCCCTAACCTCATAAGCCAAACGCAACTGGACAGCAGTGGCTGCAAGACCTTCAGTGACAATGAAAAGCTGTGGGTGTTCGATCCCAACTGGAAACTGATAGCGCAAGGCGCACGGACTGAAGGGCTTTACGAGATGAAGCTGAAGGAGCAAGATACACGTGAAGACAAGGTTACCTATCAACCTGAACCTGCTGAAGGGAAGAAGGCCCGAGAAGAGCTACGTACCATGCTGGAAAATACTGCAGTGGCCGAGCTGCAGCAGCTGAAACTTCCTGTGGCAGCAGCGGCAGAAGCGGTCGACATCAGCCTTCTACACAAGAGGATGGGGCATGCAAGCACTCAACGGATCAAGGAAATGATGAAGAAAAACATGGCAGCGGGAGTGAAGGTGACTGAAGCTATGCCGACCAATACAAAGTGCGACTCATGTGTTGAAGAGAAAGCTACAAAAGCTCCCCATCCAAGACATGGACAGAAGGAGCCATATGAGGCAATGGAAGTGGTGGCAGCGGACGTATGCGGTCCAATGAGGGTCACATCACGACATGGCAACAGATACTTCGTCACGTTCACAGACATCGGCACAAGGCTCACATCGGTGATGGAAATCAAGGATAAAACTCAGGTTTTTCCGAGTTTTGTGGACAAGTTGGCGGAAGCTGAACGACAAAGCGGCAAGCAGCTGAAAGTACTTCGAACCGACAATGGTGGGGAATTCATCAACAAGGACTTCAACGACTATCTCAAAGCCAAGGGAATACGACGGCAGCGTACTATTCCCCACACCCCTCAACACAACAGTATTGCGGAGCGGGTGAATAGGACACTACTCAACAGCGTGCGAAGCATGATAGCGGACAGCAAGCTACCTCTGACCTACTGGGGAGATGCGCTGGGCATGGCTTGCTGGCTGAAAAATCGCCTACCGACGAAGGGACTTGCAGCTGACCTGACACCTCACGAGGCAT